AACAGAATTGCCGCAGTCTGGCTTGGGTATGCACAGCTCTGTGCTCAGTCCCTCAGTCACCCAGTGAGGCCGAGCGTCTGATCGCAGCTGTCTGCAAGGCTGAACATCAACACCGAAAGTATTATAAGCTTTGGACAGGCTCGGCAGAAAGAGCGCGCGAGAGAGAGAGAGAGAGAGAGAGCAAGAGGCTGATGTCTACTCCACAGTGATGTCTTTCTGCCTCGCTGACGTATTCATTAACTCGCTGCACAGACCCCAGAGTTGTGTGTTTAAACGCTGTCTGCCCTCAGCAAGCGCTCACAGGCACAATCAGTGGTGTTTTTAAGATTACGAATAGATACTGTACTTGGGAAATATTATTGTTAATAATAATAATCGTCGTGTTGATACAAAGCCTTATCATGCCCCGAGGAGGGGGTTGTCTCAAAGCTTTTCACAGCTTTCGCTGTGTAGTAACTGTGTGTTTTTTGGCGAACGTGGCAGCCAATTTGGAGAAACTCCAGGTACTTTTCACAACAGTGCCACAGGATCTTTAACATTCACTTGCCCATTGAGAGCACTGTGAGGCAACCTTCTCGCTGCATCTCCAGCTAGGACCACCCTACATTTTAGGGCTTTTGTCCGCCTTAGTTTCCACTGCCCGCTGCCTCTGCTCAACTGGCTATGGCCTCCTGCACGTGCCCTCCGTTCCACCATCGATGGCCGCGCTTTCAGCCACTATGCTCCGAAACTCTGGAGCACTCTCCCTCTATCCCACCACCGGGCATCCAAGGCTGCACTCTCCACCTCTCAAAGCCATCAGGAACCTCGGCGTTCTGTTCGACCCTGAGCCGTCCTTTCTCCTTCATATCCGCGCCACAACTGGCACCGCCTTCCATCACCTCCAGAACATCGCCAGACTACGGCACTACCTCACCCCTCACGCGGCTGAAACTCTGGTCCACACCTTTATCACCTCAAGGCCGGACTATGGGAACTCTCTCCTCGCCGGCCTTCCCTCCACACTGCAGGTCATTCAGAACTCTGCAACTTGTGTACTGTCCCGCACCAGACACCGCGCCCACATCACTCCCACCCTCACCCTCGCCCTCGCTCACCTCCACTGGCTCCCCATCCCCCAGAGGATCAAATTCAAGATCCTCATCCTCACCTACAAGGCCATTCACGGCCTCGCTCCCTCCTACCTCTCCGACCTACTATCCTCCTACCTTCCCGCCCGTACCCTCCGTTCCTCTGGCTCCGGTCTGCTCCACATCCCCCACCCGCCCTTCCATTAGTGGCCGGGCCTTCAGCCTCTCAGCCCCGAGGCTCTGGAACTCCATCTCCCAGTGCCTTTGCCTTCGCTTCCTCCCTGTGTTCCTTCAAGGCCGGTCTCAAGACCTTTCTCTTTGACCGTGCCTTCAGCTCCCCTCTTAACTCTCTACCCCCTCCTCGCTCCCTCCCTTCCCTCCCCTCACCCTGACCATTTTCCCCCCGAGGCTCGGGTCCTGACCCATTTGTCCAGCGCCTTGGGATGTCCTCCCGACGTGAAAGGCGCTCTATAAATGGAATCTTGTTATTGTTGTTGTTGCCCCGTCCTTCTCCATCTTCAGGTCGCGCCTGAAGACTTTCCTCTTCGACCGTACCTGTGGTCACCTCCTCCCCCCCCACCCTGGCTCTGCGTCATGGTCCACCACTGCCAAGCACTCTGGGACGCTACCCGGTGTGAGGGGCGATGTGTGTAAATGCAGATTGTTGTTGTTGTGCATTCTGTCCAAGACCTGGGAGATTTCCATGTGTAGGGAGCATATGGGTGGAACTCTATAGAGTATAGTTTGGAGACTTAAGCACAGCGATGGGTTTCCCTGCATGTCATGCACCCGGCTAACCAAACATCAATTCCAATAGCCATTTAATCATTCAGAAAAACCAATGAAAAGGATTCCATAATCAGGCGACTGTTTAATTCCAACGATATCCATCTGCTTAGATATATTTATATGTATATGTATATCTATAAAAAGAAAACCAATTCACTCCTGGACATTGTGTAGTGAGTGTCTTTACTGAAAGAATGTACCGTTTAAAAAATTTACATTGTAAAAAACTATAAGATTTTAAAACACCCTTATTTCCAAATACAAAAAATTCAGTCAACGTTTTTTTTTTCCGCTTAAAAAATGGAGGAAGAGAAAGAGAGAGAGAGAGTGTGTGAGAGAGAAAAGAAGGGAGGCGTGGGTCAGAGTGTTGGGGAGATGTGAGACTGGGGGTGTGTCCATGCTGACTCACACATTTCCTGTGAGATTATCACAACGTAATGTCTATCTGGTGCTTTGTCAACCCTCCACATACAAACACGCTGAGCAACCATTGGGTTTGGTGCCCACTGGGCAGAAATACAAGTATCACAAGTCTTTAGTGTGACAGCAGCAAAGTGTTCTGTGAGGTGTCAGTCACAGCAAGAGACCTGGGGACAAAAGGAGAAAGTTATTGAAATTACCATCTGAGCTGGTGCTCGCTCCCCCACTGGAGCTCTCTCTCTCTCTCTCTCTCTCTCTGCCCCCCATTCCCTGCTCTCTCTCTCTCTCTCTCCCCATCACTCCCACTCCATATCCTTCAAAATGGCTTTCTTTTCAAACACATAATCCAGTTCCTTTGAGATACTGTGACCTTGGTTTGAGCAGCCAGGATTCTGCACTCCAGTCGCAGTCTGTGTATCTCCTGTTAAACCTCCCGGTGACAAGTTTGGGTTAATGCCTCTCGTCTCTGATTGACCAGCCAAGAAAAGTAACTCTCATTATCTCTTGTTACAAATCACTGGACTGGCCTCGTAACCCACTCTCTCTGTCTCAGCGGAAACAGCCTTCCCCCAGAGTACCTGCTCTTGTTGTCCCTCGCTGTTCTTGTGAACCGCGACTCTGGGTTTGGGTGGGGGCTAAAATCCAAACGTTGGGGCAAATAGCCCATGTGCTAACCCTGCTCAGCAGCTCTTAATTATGCCAATACCCAATTCAACAGGCTACCAGAGTGGGCCACAGCGATGTGGACATCTGAATGCACTGAGACTCGGTGTGTTTTGAATGGGCTGTTAGTCCAAACTGCATTTTAGTCTTGTCGTTCTTCTTTGGCTGTGTCAGTGAGCATAAGAACGTAAGAATTTGCTGGCGAAAGAAAACCAAGATCCATCCAGTTTGCCTTCCACCATCCTGGTAGTCGCTTGACATGTTGGGTCCCAAACTACACCCTGCATCTATACAAGGTATTATTTTCTAACAGAAATCTACCTCATTTGTTCTTGAAACAAACAGTGCTTTCTGCTTCCACCGTCCGTTTGCCTCCCAGGGGAATCTGTTCCGTTCATTTATTACTCGCTTACTGAGGTAGTGTCTCCGCAGATTTGTTCTGAATTTACTCCCCTTCAATCGCAGGCCGTGTTGTGTCCTCTGCTTCCACTGTTCAGCGCAAGATAAAACAGCGGCTCAGGGTAACCTTTGCAATGTATCCCACCTGAGATTTGGTTGCTAGGTTCTGACGACCTTGCCTGAAGGACCCCATTTGTAGCGTGTCAGTAAAACACACCAGTGGCAGGGCAGCTGAGATTCTCTTTCGTTGCCCACATTATAATAATCCTTGCATTTGATACAGCGCCTTATCACGTCTTCGAGGCGTCTCAAAGCCCTTTTAAGAATATACTGTAGAGTGTAGTGACTATATATTTTGTGGACGAAATGCGGCAGCCAATTGTGCAAAACAGTGTCCCACAAACAGTCGCGGATTGAATGACCACATTTTTTTGAAGGGATTATTAAAGTGATCGACTAATAAACGGGTTCTTACTTACCGCAAGATAAACAGAGGCGTGTGTGTGTGTATGTGTGTGTGTGGTGGGGGGGTGGTGGGGGAGTAAGGAACTTGCCTAAGGTTTCGCCCTGACCTGTCCCGCCCAGGAATTGAACCCAGGTCCTCTCACTTGCAAGGCAAGGGCTCTAACCACTGAGCTACAGGGACCCCACATAAGCTGGGGCTCTGTGTAAGGAGCTGCCAAGTCACTGCTGATGACAGTGAGATTCGCTGCTTCACTGGAGCTGTGCAGCCCAGTAAGTCATCAGAGTGTGACGTCCCCCTTGTGACTGATAGTCCTCACTGACACTTCCCCATCGAGATATCATTCAAAACACTGCCTTCGATTTCCACTCATTCTAACTGATCTCTCAAGTACTCAAATTGCCCATCTCCATCACCCACTCTCACATTGCCCCATCCCTCATCCCTTGCCTCGGTGTCGCAGAGATCCATCCCACAGGACAGGCGTGCCAGCCATCGCAGAGCTGAGTGGTTTGCTCGGGAGGAGGGAATGAGTAAATGCAGTCACACAGTTTGCATTTTGTGGCCTGTTTTTTCTGTAGCTTTATCGCTCTCAACATCATGTCAATAGCGCATTGCTCTCCATTTATAGCTCTGCTGTACATCCAAAGCTTTGCTCGGTACGATCTCACAGCAGTGTTCCACACGAACCTTAGCTCTCTCCCCCTTCCCCCTCGTTTGCAGGTGGGGTGGGCGAGTACAGGGCCTTGAACGCACGAACCTCATGAGCCAGGAGCAGAGAGAGAGAGACTTAGCCAAGTACCAGAGAGCTGAGAAACAGATGATTTGAGAGTGTGTGTGTGTGCATGCGTGACTTACTCACTGGTGTGTGACTAGCAAGCTCACTCACTGAACAACAGAAGGGAATTAACAAGCCACTTACCCTCGCTCTGCCCAGGCTGCTAACCACAGCGCAAAGGCTGGGTCAGGAACCAGAAGCTGTCAGTGAGGGATCCCCTTCAGTTCTGGTCTGTGCTGTCTGTGCAGATCCTTCCCCAGCGCCGTGACACTGAGTCTGTATGAGGGGTAGTCCACACTATCATTGTTCTGGTTTATCTCAGCCGCTAAAGTCCAGAAGAGCCTTGGTCTTCCCAGTCAATCGAAGGGGTCCATCACTCCAGGATGAGATGGCAGATGAACAGTGATGGTTTGCCGGAGGGGGAGGTGTTGAGGGGGGGGGGGTGGGGGGATCTGTGGTGAAAAGGTGCAAAGGGCTCATTTGTCAACAGTCCTGATCGTATGCCTGTTTATCCAGCGCTGATGCTGTTGTTCCAAACGACTTGGGGATCTCTGTGTGTGGGTCAGAGGAGGAACAGAAGACAATCAGACAATCGCTGTTTTTAATAATAAAAATCATTAATAATCCTCGTGATTGATACAGCGCCTTATTACATCTTCCAGGCGTCTCAAAGCGCTGCACAGAATATATTGTAAAGTGTAATGACTGTATTTTCTGGGTGACACACAACAGCCAATTGCACACAGCAGCGTCCCATAAACAGTCGAGGATTGAGTGACCAAATTATTATTTTTTGAAGAGATTAATACCCCTAGAAAAGTGACATGGCAATTGACTAACCAGCGGATTCCTACTTACTGCTAAGTAAACAGGCGCGTGTGTGGAGTAAGGGAACTTGCCTAAGGTTTCGCCCTGACCCACCCAGGAATTGAACCCGGGCCCTCTCACTTGCGATGCGAGGGCTCTAACCACTAAACTACAGTTTCTCTCCCTTGGTTTCCTGGCTAACAATACCCCTCCGTCCATTCCCCCCGTCCCCAAGAGAATCAGTCACTGAGGTCCTATAGAAATCAGGCTTCCCGCGGAGCTTGTGTCTGTTACAATGTGTGTCAGAGAGACAGATAACCCTGAGGCAGACAGGACAAGAGAGGTGAGAGGCAGATTAATGAAAGGCCAAATTGAAGAAAATTGCTTGTGTTTAGACAGGACACAATGCGGAGACAGATGGCAGACTTCACTAAGTGTCGATTCATTAAACCGCTAATGAAAAAAATTAAAGGAGAGAGAGAGAGAGAGATGGTAACACAGAATTGCTCAAACCTGAATAAACCCGTTTATAATAATATCTGTAAAACCCTCTTCAATCTCGTGGCTATCCTTGTCCTTGTAATAATAATAATAATAATCCTTGCATTTGATATAGCGCCTTATCACATCTTCGAGACGTCTCAAAGCGCTTCACAGTGAATTGACTGTATATTTGTGGGCGAAACACGGCAGCCAATTGCGCACAGCAGTGTCCCACAAACAGTCGTGGTTTGAGTGACCAAATTATTATTTTTTTTCTTTAGGGATTATTATCAGGCGTGTGGAGTAAGGAAACGTGCCCAAGGTTTCTCCCTGCTGGGAATCGAACCAGGTCTCTCGCTTGCAAGCGGAGTGCTCTAACCACTGAACTACAGGCACTTGTAGCTGTTTTAGCATTGATTTACTCCAAATTCTGATGGGGAAATGGAATAATCCTGGTGATCCTCGCCGGACAAGCAGTGGGAAAGCGTGTCAGACAGTGCTCTCAATGGTAAGCTGTGTGTGGGTTTAGTTGGTTATACTGCAGCAGTTACTCCAACACACACTCTGGCCACCCCCCCTCCCCCCCCACACCTCCCAAGCCTTGGCTCTCCCCAACCTGCGCCTAATACTCTCTGGAATTAGGTAATCAGGGGCGTCCCTCCAGGGAGAGAGAGAGAGAGAGAGCGCATCCCATCCCGACACTCTCTCTCTGGGGTTCCCGGGTGTGGGGGGGATGTGGGGAATTCTCAGTCGGGTTTGGAGACTCTTGAGCCACAGTGACGGGTTTCCGTGTGTGTCAGACATCCGGCCGGTCACGGTGACGGGTTTCCATGTGTGTGTGTCAGACACCCGACCGGTCACGGTGATGGGTTTCCGTGTGTGTCAGACATCCGGCCGGTCACGGTGATGGGTTTCCGTGTGTGTGTGTCAGACACCCGGCCGGTCACGGTGACGGGTTTCCGTGTGTGTCAGACACCCGACCGGTCACGGTGACGGGTTTCCGTGGGTGTCAGACACCCGACCGGTCACGGTGACGGGTTTCCGTGGGTGTCAGACACCCGACCGGTCACGGTGACGGGTTTCCGTGTGTGTCAGACACCCGGCCGGTCACGGTGACGGGTTTCCGTGTGTGTCAGACACCCGACCGGTCACGGTGACGGGTTTCCGTGTGTGTCAGACACCCGGCTGGGCAAAAAACAAATAGAGACTCTGTAAAAAAAGGCCTTGTGTGTACTCTCTCTCTGAGCTAAATACAGTTTTACTTCAGTAACATTCTGGTGGTGTTTTCTGAGATGCGGAAAGAGAGAGAGAAAGAGATGCTATCTATGTTTAATGCCGTGGCTCTCTCTGTTTTATCTTTGCCCAGCCTACTTTCCCTCAGGCTGTGGAGAGATAAAAATCTTCATCACACAGTCACATCTGACGCTCACTCCCTGAATTTCAATCAGAGGAACCTAGATCCATTTTGTAAGTCAAGTGAGGTTATAATGAGAGCTAATGGAGCTGGGAGCAGAGCTGATGGTGTTCTGGGGGGAGGGGACATGTTCTGAGCATCAAGGTGGGCGATGATGAAAAATGTCAGGGATTCATACAGGTACAGGACACTACAAAGGTGGACATGAGCAGGAGAGAAGGTGAAATGGATTGTGAATACATGAGTACAAGCCTCTAGAGCAATGGAGCTGAGGAGTGTAGAGGGTAGGAGGGCAGGAGGGATGGAATCCTATAGATTATAGGAGGAACCTCCTGCTGAGCCAGGCTGACCAAGGTTGATAGATTTATATGCACCTCAGAGCTTCCCTTCACCACATTGAACATGTCTCATGTGATAATAATAATCCTTGCATTTGATATCGAACCTCATCGCGTCTTCAAGCTGTCTCAAAGCGCTTCACAGAATATACTGTAGAGTGTATATTTTGTGGGTGAAACACGGCAGCCAATTGTGCACAGCAATATCCCACAAACAGTCATGAATTAAGTGACCAAATTATTATGACTTATTTTTTGAAGGGAATATTACCCCCAGAAAGTGATCCACCAATCAATTAACAAGCGGGTTCCTACTGACTGCTGGTAATCAGAGGCGTGTGTGTGTGTGTGTGTGTGTGGAGTAAGGAAACTTGCCTAAGGTTTTACCCTGCCGGGAATCGAACCCAGGGTCTCCGGCTTGCGAGGCGAGGCGACTGCTGAGCTACAGGACTCCACGAGGAGTGATGTGATACGAGTGAGAAATGACTGGAAACACAGTGTTTTATTTGATTGTAAAATCGATGAGCAGTTGGAGGGAAATGCGATGGGAGCGAGTGACAGCAGGAAAACTAGAAGTTTGAAAAGAAACAGAAAATCTCGCTTGATGAAACCCAAGCTGTGTGGCCCAGTCAAGGCATGTAACTGTGAGCGTCTCTCACAGCGGGTTTACTGACTGTAGTTAATTCATGCTGAACATCTGAGAGAGAGAGAAAGAAAGAAGCAGATCGGGGAGAGATAGAAATAAAGAGAGAGACAGGGAGAGAGAGAGAGATCAGGGAGAAGAGAGAAACAGAGCGGGAAGAGAGATAAGGGGAGAGAGAGATCAGGAGGAGGGAGACAGGAGATGGCTGGTCTGTCAGCAACAGTGCCTTGGCTCAGGAACTGGATTCACTGCAAATCCACATTCCGTTGTCAAACATGTCACCTTGAAAACAATTCAGCTCCAAGGAGACCCCACTTACCTCCAAACAGTGGGAGAGAGAGAGAGAGATAGGGGACAGAGAGAAACAGGGAGAGAGAGAGATGGTGGGGTGAGAGATGGTTTGGGAGAGCGAGAGAGACAGTGAGCGAGCGTATTATTTATCATAACAATAATAATTTGGTCACTGAATCCATGAGTGTGTGTGACGCTGCTGTGCGCAATTGACTGACGCGTTTTGCCCACAAAATACGCAGTCACTACACCTTGTAGTATATGCTGTGAAGCGCTTTGAAACGTCTCGAAGACGTGATGAGGCGCTGTATCAAATGCCAGGACTATTATTATGTCTGGATCGCTCAGGGCACAGAGCTGACATTGAGAAATCTACTTGCAGAGAGGCCAGTTGGGCTGAGCTTTCTCTCTCTCTCTCTCTCTCTGGCTCACTGACCTGCCTCTCCTGAAATAAATTGCACAGTCTATTTTCACCACAATCCACCGTATATTTAGCAACACCCTGGCTTCCGTTTACCAGGGAGAATTGGGTCAGCGCTTGAAAACTTTATAGCACTCGTTTCATCTCTTGCAAGTTCTAAGCAATTACAGAAACAACAAAAATAAAATGATTAATGTAATTCACATCAGGAGGACAGGATCCGACTGAAAAGTGCAGCGACTGGGTCTTTTTGTAGGTGATCACGGCAGCCAATTTGTGTACAACAACGTCGCCGCAAACCGCTGTGAAGTTTATGACCAGTTCTATCTCGGGAGTGGGGGCAGGTGGTGGGGAGAGAGAGACCCATTGTCAGATGAGATGTTACTCCAAGCTCTGTCTGTGCCCTCTTCAGGCAGACGTTAGAGATCCAACCTGGTTTCCTGGTCGACAACCCCCCGGTACTCGCTGTCTGTGGGATGTGGCAGTACACAGTCACTACACTTTACAGTAGATCCTGAGAAGCGATTTATGACATGAGGAGGCACTGTATCAAACGTGAGGATGATTCCTGTTACATTGAGCAGGTGATAGCTGTATCTCTGATCTACACTCAACTCTATACCCAGCTCCTTGGGATGTCCTCCCGAAGTGAGAGCGGGGGCAGTGAGGGAGGAAAGTGGGGCAGTGAGGGGGATAGTGAGGGGGCAGTGAGGGGGATAGTGAGGGGGCAGTGAGGGGGATAGTGAGGGGGCAGAGGGGGCAATGAGGGGGCAGTGAGGGGGGTAATGAGGGGGAATGAGCGCAGACTGAAAACTGTAATTTTTTTATAGAAAACATTGAGCAAACAGAGTATGAGCAAAGTAATATAAAAATGTAATAACATTTTCTTAAACATTAGGTGGGTCATAAGTAATATATTAATTCCACATCAATAAACCTCCGGTGACATTTGCCCGGCTTTTCAACAGCACCGAACACTGACTGGTCTTTATTATACCCATTAATAATAATAATAATCCTGGCATTTGACACAACGCCTAATCACGTCTTCCTGATGTCTCAAAGTGCTTCACAGAATGTACTGTAAAGTGTAGTGACTGTTTTTGTGAGCGAAACACGGCAGCCAATTGTGCTCAGCGACGTCCCCACACAAACAGTCGTGGATTGAGTGGCCATATTTTTTTTGAGGGATGACAGTGATTCCCCCAATCAACTAACAACCGGGTTCCTAATGCCCTGGTAAACCGAGGTGTGTGTGTGCCTGTGTGTGTGTGTGTGTCTGTGTGTGTGTGTGTCCGCGTGTCTGTTTGTCTGTGTGTGTGTGTGTCTGTCTGTGTCTGTGTGTGTGTGGTGGGGGGAGTAGGAAACTTGTCTAAGGTTTCGCCCTGACCTGACCTGACCTGCGCGGGAATCAAACCCGTGTCCTCTGGCCTGCGAGGCGAGGGGTCTGACCAGTACACTGCAGGACTCCACAAGCAAACAGAGCGCGCCAGTGACCCCCCCTTCCCCACCCCCCCGTACCTCTAGCCTCTGCCCGCTCCTCTCTCAGCGAGGCCGGGGGGACGTCCTGCTGATCGCCACTCACTCTCGTTCTCCTGCGTTTGTGGGGGGTCATGGTCTCCGGGGGGAAGGAGGGGCTGGAGGGGAACGAGGCCTTGTCGCTGTCCGTGCTCAGAACTACAGTCAAGGCCTCTCTGGTGATCTCAGCCCAGGTCTCCTGACTCGGTCCCCCCTCCGGCTTGGAGCAGGACCTGTCCAGGGCCCCATTGTGGCTGCCGTTGCCGTTGGTCTGTGAGTACACGTTGGTGCCCACAGCCTTGCTGTCGCCCAGGCCGCTGCTGTACACCTTGTATCTGATCATAAGGATGATGATGAAGACGAGGACCGAGGCCACGATGATGCCCCCGATGATGATGATCATGGTGCCCCCAGGAACTGGGTGTGGACAGAGTGGCACTGGGTGTACTCCTGCTCCGTGGTGAAGCGCACACAGCCCACAGCCCGTGTGGCTGTCAGTGTGGTCATCCCGTCATCATAAACGGCCAACACACACAGCTCGTAGTCCCGGCCCGGAGCCAGGTCCTGGACCAGGAAACTCTGACTGGAAGATGGGATCATCCTGAAAGACACAATAGGCACATAGGGAACCATAGGAACAGGAGGAGGCCATTCAGCCCCATTGAGCCTGTTCCACCATTCTATAAATAATAATAATAATCCTGATGTCTGACCCGGCGTCTTATCACGTCATCGAGACGTCTCAAAGCGCTTCACAGGATACGCTGTAAGGTGTAGTGACTGTGTGCTTTGTGGGCGAAACGCGGCAGCCGAATGTGCGCAGCGACGGCCCACAGTTGTGCATTGAGTGACCAAATTATTATTGCATTTTTTGAAGGGCTTATTACCGCCTGAAAGTGATCCACCAATCGACCAACAAGCGGGTTCCTGCAGAGGCGTGTGTGCGCGTGTGTGCGCGTGTGTGTGTTGGAGTGAGGAAACTTGCCTAAGGTTTTGCCCCGACCTGTCCGTTAATCAAACCCGGGTCCTCTCACTTGCGAGGCGAGGGCTCTAACCACTGAGCTACAGGACTTCATCGGTGCCTGGACTGTGAGCACAAAGTCCCTGGACTGGGGGCCTGAACTCACAACCTCATGACTTAGTGAGAGTGTGAGTGACTGAACCAGCGTAACCTTATCATTGAGAGTTAATGGGAGAGAGAGCGAGGGAGCAGGAGGGAGCTGTGTGCATGTCCAGGTTTGCCACTAAGTGACAGTCGCAATGAGAAGCTCTCGATTGGAGTCAGCACTTTCTCTCCATCAGCAGCATTACAGACTCGGAGAATAAAGAAATACATTACAGTCGAGCGAGAGAGAGAGAGAGAGAGCGAGAGAGAGAGAGAGAGAGAGATAGCCTGCATTAATGGATGTAAGAGTTTGTCTACGAAATACACAGTTATTACACCCAGCAAGATTATAATAATAATAATAATAATAATAATTAGATGTTATATGTGAGGTGGTTAGATGTTTGTGGGGTCAGAGTATGAAGGGATAAGGGGCAAAGGCGGGTAATTGGAGTTGAGGTATAGATCAGCCATAATCAAAGAGAACAGGCTCGAGGGGCTGAATGGCCTCCTCCTCTTTCTGTATTTCTATGTTTCTACACTTTGCAATAAAATCCCGTCAGGTACTTTGAGATATCCTCCGGTGTGAAAGGCACTGTCTCAAGTGGAAGGATAATAATAATCCGTTCCCTATTCCGATCACCCTCTGGAGCAAAGGCAGTCTCTCTCTCTCTCTCTCTCGCCTTTCTTTCTCTCACTTATAATCTTACATTTCCTGCCCTCACATCACCCCCAGCGACAACGCTCCACGTTCCTCCGTTTATCTCTCAGCCTCTTGTTGACTTGCCAGTCGGCCATAGGCTGAGGCTCAGGGGTAGGTTTTTGGGGGAGATTTGCTAAACACTGTACAAATACTCTGTGCATCTGCTCCATACGGCTCATTAGCACCAGCGCTGTGTCAGCCATTCTCATCACTGACTAAGCAATTATGCCTCACTGACGTCACCCCGAGGAGAATACACACTCACTGACACACTCACTCACATGTTTACACATTCACACAAACCATCGCACTTAATCCCTCACACACTGACTGACTGACACACACCAATACACACTGACTCTCATTCACACACACACACTGACGTACTTACACTGACACACACACTGTCTGACACACTGGTACACTCACACACACTTGTGCACACACACACACTGACACACTGGATGTTACACTGTGCCATACCAGCCTCAGGGAGGGGATGGAGCCCGGGGAGGGGAGGGGATGGAACCCGGGAGGGGGAGGGGAGGAACCCGGGAGGGGAGTGGATGGAGCCCGGGGAGGGGGAGGGGAGGGGGGATGGAGCGCGGGGAGGGGAGGGGAGGGGAGGATGGAGCCCGGGGAGGGGGAGGGGGAGGGGGGGATGGAGCCCGGGGAGGGGGAGGGGATGGAGCCCGGGGAGGGGGAGGGGGAGGGGATGGAGCCCGGGGAGGGGGAGGGGGAGGGGGGATGGAGCCCGGGAGGGGGAGGGGGAGGGGGGGATGGAGCCCGGGGGAGGGAAGGGGAGGGGGAGGGGGAGGGGAGGGGGGAGGGGGGGGGGGAGGAGGGGGGGTGGAGCCCGGGGAGGGGGAGGTGGAGAGGGATGGAGCCCGGGGAGGGGAGGGGGGAGGGGGAGGGGGGATGTGGGCCCGGAGGGGAGGCTCCCGGTCCCCGCGTGCGTACTATGGCTGCCGCTATGACCCGAGCCCCCTCAACCCCTCCTTCCTCCTCTCTACCGCCAAATCCTCCCCCTCTGCATCTCTCCCGCTCTGTCCTCCTCTCTCTCCGTCCCTCTCGCCTTCTATCCCCACTGGACCACCCCCAACCCCCTCCCTCTGTTCCATCCTGGAATCCTCCGCCGGCCGGGCTCACCGCGGCACTCGGCGTTGGCTGTCCAGCAGCAACTACACCGACTGCCCCATTCCCCACCACACTCGCCAGCCACCCCGGACACAGACTCGGGGAGCCAACCTCTCCTCCCTCATCCCCATCCCTCCCACCCCTGCCTCACAACCTGGACCCCCCCTCCCTCCCCACACACCCTTCTGTCAACCGCTCCCTCCACATCGGACCACAAAATGTCCGCTCCCTCTGTAACAGGCCCTGGTCATCAACGATCTCATCCTTGATGGGAGCGTTGACATCATGGCCTTAAACGAAAGGGGCTCACCCCAGGCGACACCTTCTCCCTCACGGAGGCCACACCACCGGCTATACCTCCCACCACATCCCTCGCCCCAACCGCCGTTGGCTCTTTCCCCTCTTTTGAGCATCTCATTCTCTCTTATTCTTCCTTCCTCTCACTTAAAATCCTCCTCCTCTACCGGCCCCTAAAACCTCCCCCACCTTCATCTCCGATATTCTACACCTCCTAACATCTCTCTGCCTCTGCTCTGATCGCCTCATCATCCTGGGCGACTTCAACCTGCACTTCACCCCTCCTGCTCCATCTCCTCGGACTTCTCCTCCTGCTCTCCTCGCTCAACCTCTCCCTCCACATCAACTCCCCACTCACAGTCACGGCCACCCACTCGACTTGGTGATCACCCGGGGCCTCAGTGTCTCGGATGTCACATTACCGACAAGGCCATCTCGACCACCACTTCATCTCCTTCACCACCTCCACCCCCTCCCCACCTCCACCAGACCCACCACCATCTTCTACCGCCCCTGGAAGAAGTTACCCCCACAATCCCTAACCGCTGCCTTGGAGTCCTCTGAACTCCTCTCCCTCTGGCCTTCAACCCTCACTGACCCCTCTTCTCCTCTCACCCTCCTCCACAACACCCTCTCCTCCACACTCGACACTCTTGCCCCCATCACCTCCCGTACTGTCTCCTACTCTCGCTCCTCCCCCTGGTTCACCACCCACCTCCGCTCACTGAAGAGCCAGGTGCGGGCCGCTGAACGCACCTGGTCAAATCTGGCCTAACGGTCAACCGACAAATCTGGCTGGACCTCCTCAAAATCTACCGCTCCACTCTAGCCTCGGCCAAGTCGGCCTTCTACTCCAGGATAATCCTGGACAACCCCAGGCTACTGTTCTCCACCACATCCCGACTCCTCCGTCTCCCCCACCACCCCGCGCAGGTCATCTCCTCCAACCTTCACTGCGAGGAGATGCTGGATTTCCTTGAATCCAAATCAAGGGAATTCGCTCCGCGGTCACTTCCCCTCCAACATCCACCCACCCCCCCTCCCAACTCCTACCCATCCTCCCCTACACACTTTACCCGTTTCCCCACCTCTGTCACCAAACTCATCCTATCCCTGAAACCCACCACCTGCTCCCTTGACCCCATCCCCACTCCACTCCTTATCTCCCAGCTCCACCTCCTGCCCCACATATCACAGACATCGTCAACCTGTCCCTCTCCTCTGGCTCTGTTCCCATTCCCTTAAAAAATGCCACCATCTGTGACCAGGGCTCCCTCTGCCTCCTCAACCTCCTCGACCTATAGGCAGCATTCGATACGGTCGACCACGCTATCCTCCTCCACCGCTTGTCCTCCCACCTCAACCTTCAAGGCCCTGTCCTTGAGTGGTTTAGGTCGTACCTCTCCCACCGTCTTCACTTTGTTTCCACGAATAGTTTTTCCTCCACCCCCCACACTGTCTCGTGCGGTGTCCCTCAGGGCTCTGTCCGCGGTCCCCTCCTCTTCACCCTCTATATGCTCCCCCTGTGGTGACATCATCCGCAGACATGGGGTTAACTCCCACATGTATGCGGATGACACCCAACTCTACCTTTCCTCCTCTACCCTCAACTCCACGACCCCCGATGTCCTGACAGCTGTCTGTCCGACATCGAGTCCTGGACGAGAGACAACTTTCTTCAGCTCAACGTGCGCAAAACTGAGGCCCTCCTGATTGGCTCACGTCAGCGCCTCCGCACCTCAGGCGCTGACAGCATCAGCTCCGCACTCTCCACCTCTCAAAGCCATCAGGAACCTCGGGGTTCTGTTCGACCCTGAGCTGTCCTTTCTCCCTCATATCCGCACCACAACCGGCACCGCCTTCCATCATCGCCAGACTATGTCACTACCTCACCCCTCACGCGGCTGAAACTCTGGTCCACACCTTTATCACCTCAAGGCCGGACTATGGGAACGCTCTCCTCGTCGGCCTTCCCGGCCCTCCCTCCACACTGCAGGTCATTCAGAACTCTGCAGCTCGTGTACTGTCCCGCACCAGACACCGCGACCACATCACTCCCACCCTCGCTCGCCTCCACTGGCTCCCCATCCCCAGAGGATCGATTTCAAGATCCTCATCCTCACCTACAAGGCCATTCAGGGCCTCGCTCCCTCCTACCTCTCCG